ATATATTTTCTTTTTTACTTTGGTTTGTACATTGTTTTTAATTCTGAGAGGTCCTTGCTTTTCTGAGCTTGTTTGTTTTCTTGCAGATGTTTCATTGCCCTAACTAGGTAACAACATCAGTGCTGGTAAGGAGTGCTGTTTGCTGTCAGTTTATATTCTGGTGTCTTGCCTGTCTCTGTGGGTGAGGGCAGATTTAGAGATTCTTTGGTTGGGCTGATGGCTCTTTGGCAGTTTCTTGATTGGGGTATTGCTTACTTGATTGTTGGTCTGAAGTTAACCTTGGAGTTAATCTATGCTGATCTGTGCTGATTACTGATTAATCAGCACTCAGATCAGCATAGATTAACTCCAAGGTTAACATCAGATCAACTATCAAGTAAGCCATCAGTAAACAGACCAACCAAAGAATCTCTAAATCTGCCCTCACCCACAGAGACAGGCAAGACACCAGAATATAAACTGACAGCAAACAGCATTCCTTACTAGCACTGATGATGTTACATACCATGGTTTGGATAATGAAACATCTGCAAGAAAACAAGCAAGCTCAGATAGAACAAGGACCTGTCATTTCATCCCTGAACTTCAAATGTTCTCCTTTATTGTTTTAATTCCGTTGTTTTTTTCTTTTTATTGTGAAAATGTAACTACCAAGAGTTGTTAAGATTATGGTGAGATAAAAATCAAATCAAATCAAATCAATAAAACATATAGCACATATTGCATACTTAGATTAGAAGGTGCATTTGGGAAAGTAGGAATTAACTGGTTTTAAAGATATAAATGTACTGCTTTAATTCCTGGCCTGTCCCATATATTTGACCTTTGGCTTCCAACACAAAGCCAAGTAAATGCTGGACTCAAAAGAGGCTGCATTACAAAAATATTACAAAATTACACATTTTATGGAATTCAATATGTATGCAAGACAACAACATGTACAAAGATTAAACAGTCTTTGTCCATATTTACAGATATTAAAGAAATCAAATCTGCTTTAAAATTTCTAAATATTTTCAGAGTAACATTCAGTGACGGAAAGGAATTTAAAGGAAATCATGTAAGTTATTTGAAGTTACTTACTGAAGGTGATATATCATCATCATATTTTTTTAACTGATTCATGAATTCAAGGTGTTTCTTTTCTTCTTCCAGCTGAGCCACAGACTGTTCACTTTTTTGTAATTTCTGCTGGGTATTAGCAAGTTCATCTCTTAGCCACTGGTTTTCTTGACATAGCCTACGAACTTGGGCACGTAATTTCTGCTTCTCTGATTCTACAGCATTTAGATGATTTGACAAAGCCATCATCACCTAGAATGCACCAAAATTTGTTTGATTCAGGATTCTAGCAGTTAAACATTTTGTAAAGCAATGAGAAAATGGATATTGATTAGATAAACAAACGATAGATAGCTAACTAGAGATAAATTAAAGCTCTGTCTTCATTAAAAACAAAACAAAAAATGGGAAACCATGACATAGGAAACAATGCATAAACACTAAGAATAAAAATGCCTTAAAGTCTAATACATTTATAAGACATTTATTATTAATGTGTATATGAAATTTACCAGGAATGTGTAGAAAGCAGGATATTAAAAATAGATGATTTATGATAAAACGATAACTTTAATAAAAATACTTTAAGAATATTATTTTTTTATTTATTGAATAATAGACTACTGTATGAAGTAGACATGTCAATACTCTAGAAACATGAGTTTGTATTATATGTAAGTATGTATAAGTAAAGCTGTTTACTGATTAGTGACAAATAAGATATGGCAAAAAATAAAACCTACAGGCAATGCGGGAAACCTAGAACAACAAAATAAAATTGTAAATTAATAAAATCACAAAATAAAGAAAATAGTTTCCTTCATAGGAATGTCAAGTGATTTTTTAAATTCTCCTAGTGATGGTAGAAGTTTTGGCCTGACATCAAGGAACAAATAAGACTATCCTAAAGACAGATGAAAACAGAGAGTACATTATTGTAAAAACGGCTTTGAAAAACAGCATGTGTGCTAAAGTCATAGTATTATCCATAGCACAGTCAAGTTATACACTGATCATATACAATCATATTTATTTAATTAAAATACCAATTTTCCACCTTAATTTTGAATATAAGAGATTAAATTCAGCTAGTTTCATTCATTTTATTTACCTGAGCTTCACTTAGTCCCAATTCTAGCATTTCCAAAGACTTCCGAATCATATTTGATTTTTCTTCCACCAGATTGGTCTCATCATCTTTCTTCAAACATTTTAGTGTCTCAAGTAAACTCTGTAAGATGGAGTTGTGCTCATTCTTCAAGGCTTCCAGGCCTTGAATCACTTGTTTAGTCTTAGAAATAATCTCATCCTGAGTGAGCTTTTCCAATTTGTCTTCTTTTAGATACACCATTGTGGACATGTTGTCATACATTCTAGGAAAAAATAAGTCCAAGAGGTATTATTTAAATACCATCTAAATACATTGTTGGAATATTAAAGTTTTAGCTCACATACCCATATTGCAATTTGTTTACTAATAATTATGCCCAATAGCATTTATTTTCTGGAAATAATCACAATGATATATGTAGAATTCATCTTCCCTTAACTCAGAACAGAGAGATTGTTGTTATTTTATGTCAAATCCCTATGTAAGGAGCTTCACATGACTTTCATGCCTCTTGGGGATGGGAAAATTTATCTATTTTCATACAATGTACATCCTATGAGATATTAGTATTGTGATAATTTCTAGATATCACATCCAACAACCACTGAGCACTAGTACATCTCTTAAAGCTAATAAAATGTATAATATCCTAAAACACATGAAAGGAAAAATTCAGGAGTTCAATCCCTAGTAGAGAATTACTGAGACTTTATGGAATAATATCTAGCTGCCTACATTTCACAAGCCCCCCAAAAGATGATCCAATCATGTAATATCTCTTTATGGGGATTAATATACAGTATTCTCAGAAAGATGGAAGCACCAAATGACATTTTATGATTCTATTAATGTATAAGCAATATTGAATAGGATTCTAGTTATAAGCAGAAATAATCATATCAATGTAAAGTGCTCAACAAATAATTCCATAAGCAGAGAAGCAGCTCTGACATATAAAACAAGTAGTCCTTGTCTTATCACAGCAATTGGCACTGGAAATTCCATTGCTACGTGGTCACTTAGCAATGGCAATCCTTACAATTCTGGTTGCTGTCATTAACTGAATGCTACAATTATTAGGCGAGGCAACTTCCTGCCACTTCCCACAACCAGTCAATCCCAACCTGGGAAGAAGGTAAATAGCTGTTGACATGTGGGGGAAAGAAAGAACAGGGTGTATGGGGATGTGGAGGAGGGTTGAGGAAGTTGCATGACAAGCACATACAGGTCAGAGAGACTGTATGACAGGCATGAGTTGGAGAGAATAAATAAGGGCTCACAAGAGACACTGTGTGGGTCAGGAGGTTCAAGGAGGATGCACAAGAAGTGTTATGCAGGTCAAATAACGTACATGAGTGCGCATGAGAAATTCAGTGTAGGTCATGGAGAGTATGTGAGCAGTGCAGGTTGGAGAGGATGTATGGAGGTGCACATGTGGCCGAAGCTAAGCAAATGCAGAGTAGCTGGGGAAGGGTGCACGGAAGGAAAAGTCTTATTCAAGCATCTTGCAGTTTCCCCTGCTGGCTTCCCCACTGACTTTCTGAGGAAGCCAGAAAGGAAATTGCAAATGGTGACTGCATGATCATGGAGCACTTGGCATCCAGTAATATACTGCTTGAAATCCTTTCTTTTTTTCTACCTTTCAATGGAAAAAACAGGTAAAAGAAAAGCATATCAGCAGCAACTATTTGAGTTAACTCTATTCATTAAATACAAATACAGTCCAGACATAGGGAAATCAGTGTTGTTCTGCCTCTCAATCCAGTAATAGTCATGTTTAAAATTACTCCTATTTCTTGTCCAGTTCTTTCTTTTTAAAAAGACTGGTGTACATCATAAAGAAAAAAATAATTATAATTGCCATATAGCTAACATATGCTCTAAATTCCAGGTAACCTCATATATTTTCATGGAATTGTAACTTTTTGAAATCAGAATTTTACCATTTGATACTCCTAGCATAAACCTCCATAATTGGTACATACTAGAATATGATTAGTTATCAATTCGGTATTGAGAAATGCAATATGATCCATGTTCTCATAGTATTTACTTTCTCGGTAAACAGCTCTTTTTATCTCTGAAAAGATTTTGTCCTCCCAAGTTTTAAAGTTCTGGGTCTTAACCTATTTTAATTTTGTTGCTGATTGTATTATAATTTATTTGCTTTGCTCATAAGTATCTATGTTATTATTATATTTTACTGTAAACCCAGTAAATAAATTGGCTAAACAGCATATTGAAATATATGAAATAAATTAGTAAGCAAAAATCCAACAATACTTCCTATCATGCCAAGTTACCAAACACTGGATGAAGCCTGTCATTCCCAAATCTGACCCAAGGAAAGTACCGGTACCAGCAGATGAACCCAGCAGAATCAATTAGGTTTAGAAATATTTTAAAATATTGAAATTTTAACATATTATTTCTTCAATCAGTTTACCTTGACAAGTCTTAAAAATACCTAAACTAGAAGTTTCCAAACTTTCATCATTCACCATGCTGAAGCTATGTATTGTGACAGCCCAGTTCACCAACAGTTCCATTTACTAAGTGGTAAAACATCCCATAGTGCTCTGTGATTTTGCTGCAATGCCCTAGGGTACCGTAGCATACTGCTTGAGAAGAGTGGACCTAAATACAGCTTCTATGTTTGATAATTCTCCACATTTTTCAGGACAAGAACTTTTCTCATTACTTCCTTTCTTCCTTTCTATTTTTAACTACTGCCTTTTTTCATGTATTATTAACAAACCAGATACCATCCAGATGATTTGGCCATACTGGCTGGGATGAAAAGACTGAGATCCAAAGTGCCTGGACTTCGCTTTAAAAATCTAATATTTTTATTTATTTATGAAACTTGTATGCTGCCCATCTCATTGAAGGCAATTTTTTTAAAAAACGTATTTTACTTTAGAGTAGATAAGAAATCAAATGTGCAAATACCAATTCATTTTTTAAATTTATTCTTTGTAAAAGCATCATTTCTGTACATATCAATACATGAATACATACCTAGACACAGTATATCATTGGCAAAGAAATTATGAATCTCCTTAGTATTATTCTGCAATAAGTTCTATATTCTTTTTTTTCCTGGACAACTATAGGTAAACCTCATTTACCAATTAACTCATTCAGGGACAGTTCAATGTTAAGACGATGCTGAAAAAATAACTTTACAAACAATGGCCATGTTTATAACCTTCTCAGTGTCTCTCAGTCATATGATCACCATTATAGTCAATTTACATTGTCCTTTGACTGATCCATTGTGTCCCATGCCGTCTCCCTCCCCCCCCCCCCGCCCACTTGCAGAGTAGAGAGATTGGAGAGGAAGGGATTACAAGAGAATAAGCAGAAACCCAAAGGGGAATAGAATAGTTGTTTGCCTAGCGTAGTTGGGACTGCTGGCTCCATCGCATTCTTTCCAATGTGCATTGTGTATCTGCTTACTCTCTTACAATCACTTCTTCTTCAATCTCTCTACTCTGCAAGTGGGCGGGGGGGGGGGGAGGGGGACGGCTTGGGCCACAACGGATCATTCAAGGGACAATGGAAATTTCTTTTAGGGGGGTGCTTATGATTTAGAGA